GAAGAAGGTTTTTCAAGGATTTCTCTTTCACTCACTTGCTTGCCAACTCTGGATGCAAGATCTCTCATGTATTAAGAGGGGTGGGGGATCTTGGAAAGGCTGGGAATTGCTTCCTGAAAGATAAAACACAGACCCAAAAATGTGATCTTGGCACACTCTGAGAGTTGGAAATAAGCAATTAAAAAAAAGGCCATCAAAATGGTAAATAGGTTTCAACAGATGGCTTCAGCACAGCAATGGAAAATGCAGGCAAGGACTTTGGGGTTAAATCTCATATTTTAGTCACTTGGGACTAACGTATTATTCCAGAAAAACAAACATCTATAAAGTTGACAGCTCTCTCCCCTCCTCTGAGGTGGAGCCTTTGAAGGCTGCCTGCCCACTGCCAGCTGAGGAGTGGCTGCTTGCAGAGTGACCCAGGGAATTGAAAGTCACTTTTCCACACCTGTCAACTGCGGGGCTTAGGGCTTGCTAGACTAGAGGAACACCATAACCACCAACCGTATTACTGATGGACCAGGACTTTTATACTCAATGTGTGTGCGGGCTTTATTATTTTTTTAGAATCATTTTAACATTTAATGCTTCTCATTAAAGTGATTTCCTGGAGTGGATGCCAAGCTTCGTTTAGAATGCGCATTAACCACTTTCTGTATCTGTAGTTAAAGGCACTGAGGGATTTAAACAGCAATCCACAAGTCTGTTCAGTCAAGGTTTGGCGGGATAAAGCAGATTATAAACAATAATATATGTCTTTCTCTTCTTTTTCTGGAAGTGTGCCAAATTCACAAACGGAGCTAAAGTGCTATAAACATATCCAGGACGAAGCTTTGGGCTCTACAAAAAAGTTGGGTTCCTTTGAGGTCATATTTCGAGTGACCAGGATCATGGGTGGCTTGTATATGAGGCTGAGGCATGGAGTCATCTCCACTCCCTACTCCCCACCTCCTACTGCGGGTGCACGGTCCCCCCACAGTACTCACTAATCTAGTAACTTTCTGGGATCATAAAACATGTTCTCAG